AGTTAATGTCATGTCTGTCTGTTTTAAAAACCAAGGATGTGACTACAGCAAACAATACTATTTCGCAATGGTCCTTAACAAAGAATGGCAGATCATTAATATAAATCAGGAATAAGAAAGGCCCAAGTATTGTGCCCTGCGGAATACCCATTTTTACCGGAGAACCGAAAAAGAAGAAGTCACACCTTTTATGTCTACTTTCTGAATTCTACCGTTGAGATATGACGAAACAAGTTTCGACGCCTTGCCATTTACATCGTAATGTCCCAGCTTCCTAATAAGAGTAATATGATCAACGAAATCAAATGCCTTTGAGAGGTCATAGAAAACACCAATAGCGTTCTGGGTCCTTTCCCAAGCATCAAAGTTGTGTTTTAGTAACGCTACCCCCGCATCGCTAGTCGATCTACCACTAGTAAACCCGTATTGTTCATATGAAAAATATGATTCCTACCGAAATAGGACAGTAATTGGGTCAGCATAACCTTATCTAATATTTTACTTAAAGCTGGTAAAATTGAAATGGGCCTATAGTTGCTAGGATCAACTTTTCTACCGCTTTTGAATAAGGGAATAACCTTGCTGTATTTCATTAAATCGGGAAAAACACCTTCGTCAACGCACCTATTGAAAGCTACAGCTAAATGTGGGGAAATTAGATCAATAACTGAGTCTATAACTTTAGTTGATATGCCCCAGAGATCTTCAGTTTTTTTTAACATGTATTGATTTAAAAGCTTTTATGATATCTTGTGGATTAATATGACGGATTAAATAAACTGCCACAAACGTTAACATTTTCCTTTAGAAGATCAATAGCAAGTGAAGGGGTGGAATTAAATGATTCTGTAGTGTTCACAGCAATTTCCGAAAAGAACGATTCAAAAGCTTGGGCTACTTTATCTTTAGATTTTATAAGTTTACTGTCTAATTCTAAAATTATATCTCTATCGTGTTGTTTAACCCTGCATGACTCTTTATTTATTATGCTCCAAGTAGTTTTAAATTTATTTATCGATTGTCTAATTTTGTCGCTGTGAAACTTAACCTTAGCAGCTACACATACTTTTTTAAATATTTTTGAATAAATTCTAACATATTCTATGAAATTGGAATTAGTATTATAAGTTTTCATAGAATATAGCTCATATAAACGAGACCTACTCTTATGAACACCTACTGTTGCCCAGTCGTTGAATTTAGTCTCTCTATGGAAAGTTAATGTTTTCGATTTAAATATATTATCAAATTTATTTTTAAATAAAACCAAATATCATGCTATATAAAGTATTTGGATCCTCCGGTATATGGGGTAGGGAATTTAAACTATTGCCGATATTATTTTGAAATCTAATGATTCGTTCTGTGGTAATCGGTCTGCAGAGAAATTGGTCTACCTTCTTGCTCATTTTACAATTAAAAGAAGCCAATTGGCCACTATGGTCTGATCTTAAGCAATTTATTATTGATTTAGACACTGCGTCTGTGTTACAAAAGATGTTATCAATACAAGTAGAAGAGGAGGCAGTGATGCGAGTTCGTTCTAAGAAAAGGTTAATCAAGTTAAAACTTTTAAATAAATTAATGAGTCTTACAGAAGTAGAACAATTTTCCAACAGGTTTACATTGAAATCTCCACATATTACTACATTTTTTTCGTTGGAAAAATCCGCTTTAAACTGTCTTCCATAATTAATTCAAACTCGTTAAAATTAGCAGAGGGGGGCCTGTATACAAATAAGACGACAAACTGATCCAATTCCACACATGAAATCTCAATACTTCGTTCAGTAGAAAGATCTGTGATATCCTTACGCTCTTTAAATTTTAAGTTACGTTTAATAATAATCATGGATCCGCCTCTACTTAAGCTCTTTCCTATGAACGAACTGACTATTACATAATTTTCTATGTTGTTAATTGCTTCGTAGTCTTTCAGCCAGTGTTCTGTAACACAAAACACGTCAACGGAAATATCGTGCAAAAAAAGACTTATTTCTAATGTTTTGCCAGAAAAGCCTTGAATATTTTGATGTACTACATGGAAACAATTAGACTTTTCTGTTGTCGTGTTTTTTAGTTTAAATTATGGTTAGTAAAAAGTATACTGTTGCTACTTAAAATAGGAGCATTGTCGTGGGACTGTGTTATATTTTCTGTAACAGCGTCCTTAATATTAAAAGATAGCAAACTAGCTATATGTCTCAGATACCTTATAGGTAAAAGTAAATTATCCTCAAAAAGGTTGAAGTTCCTTACGAACTTATTAATGTCAAAATGTCTGATGTGCTGTGGTCCGAACATTATCCTGGCGATGGGCCTAATCACGATTACGAGTTTGTTTACCCGTATGAGTTTGTTAATCAACAAGATAAGAACTATAAGAAAACCGACAAACTGAGGGCGCCTTCAAATTAGACGCTTATAAAGACGCTGCAGTGGCGCCACTGTGGCGCTACTACCGCGTCACTGTTAGTGCCCGTGCATACGACACGAATTGCAGCACGAATTGATGTATGAATTTGCGCGGCCGCCGCGCGATGAAATTCATGCATAAATTTTAATGTTCAAAAAAGTTTATTGTTCATACAATATTTATAAGTGCAGTTCAGATACGAATTTTAATAGGGATAACGAGGGGCATTCATATTGCGACGTTGGAGCTGAAATTCTTGGATCGTCGCAAGACGAACATCAGCGAAAGCTTTTGCCAAAGGTGTTTTCATCAATCAAGAACGAAAGTTTCGAAGAAAGAAAGAGGTTCGAAGGCGATACCATCCTAGTTCTAACCGTAAATATATTATCTAGCGATCCGCCGACGTTACTACAATAACTCGGCGGGCAGCTTCCGGGAAACTAAAGATTTTGGACTCCGGGGAGTATGGTTGCAAAGCTGAAACTTAAACGAATTGACCGAAGGGCACCACCAGGAGTGGAGCCTGCAGCTTAATTTTACTCAACACGGGAAATCTCACCTGGCCCGGATACCGGAAGTATGGGCAGATTAACAGCTCTTTCTTGATTTGGTGGGTGGTGGTGCATGACCGTTCGTGGAGCGATTTGTCTGGTTAATTCCGGTAACGAACGTGAGACCCAATTAGTGAACTAAAAATTACAGAAACGCTACAGCGCATAATGGCTTATACAAGCATGTAATTTGAAGGAGTCCTGATGAAGGTAAGAATGAATTGGAAAGCACACGTCAAAAAGATTAAAATCAGATTGTCAAAATTAGTATATGCTCTAAGAGAACTCAAAAAACCACGAACATGAGAGATACACTTGCCGCTTACTACGCCTACTCACAACTCAAATACGGTATCATACTCTGGGGAAACAGTACTGACATTCATGATATATTTGGCCTACAAAAAAAGTGTGTACGAATAATAGCTAATATCAAAAGTACAGAAAGTTACCGCATTTTAAAAAACTTGGAATCTTAACAATTACATGGGTTTATTATCTTTTCGAAACTTGCATATTTGTAAGAATAAAACCCTGTGTTTTATACAAAGATAATAGATCAAACTCGATGCTTCGAGACGCGATTTAAAGAATAATATTAAAACTACACACAGTAGCCCAAATTCAATGGCAATAAAAAATTGTAATAAATTAAACGATCAATTAACAACCGGAAGATGAAACGAAGTAAGTAAAAAAACTAGTCTGAGACTCATTATTATCTTCATTTATTTAGTGCAGAGTAATATATAATACAGATTTATTATATCAATATAATGAGACGCCATAAGTTCATGAGCTAGTAGACAAAAGGGTCCTTGAATTTTCAATTTGTATTGCCGATAAATATTATGTAGTGAATATGCCTAATTATTAACTAGGTAACTTGGACACTCAATTATCAAATAAATTGTTTACCTTATTTATAAGTACCTGTCCTAAATATAACATTTTAAGTGCTTTTAATAAATTTTTGAAATAAATCTTCAATATTATTCTAGTTAGTGAATTAATGAAAAATATAATATAATTTATTAGTACTCTATTAATAGAATTATAGATAAGCTAGGATAAGATAGGCTCTACCAACGTTAATATGTACGAGAAAGTTATGGGTAACCCTGCCACTTCACGCACACATTTGCGCGTGTGCAGATAGTGCTTTGGTGTATGTAGTAGTAGTAGTAGGTAAATAACTTTTGGCCGAAGTATGGAATGTCCGGGGTGTGATTTAACTAACTTAAGCAAACCTCAATGAAGCGAAGTTTTGCAACAGCAGATTCTTGTGTCACCATACCTATTTCTGCCATCAAGCAGTAATGGGAGCATTATTGCTGAATTTAATGGTAAAAGTACCTGCAGATTTAGGGGGTCCCTACATTTATTAACGCAGGATCGCATCAAGCCCGTCAGAATCAGCTTTACGTCCTTAAACGTAAGGGCGAAAAGGACGTTGTGCGTTTCGCATCGGTTCATACGAAGCCGGTTCGACACAGATCGGCAACAAACGTGCTTCCTGCGAATTCTTGGTAGCATCCGTACACATGCCAACGACGGCTGCAGATTTGGAAACAACTGGTGCGACGGAGCGCGAGCGGCTGCGTCAACGGCAAATCGACTTAATGCGACAGGTGTGATTAAACACGGTCGCATCAAGGCGACTCCGAGTCAATAAGTTTGGTGACTCCCTTACCTACTCGATTTTTGACGGTCATTACTATCACTTATTAGCGATCGATAAATATAAAGGTTAAAATCGAACAATATTTGTAAGAATATACGTCTAATTTAAATTCCACAGTGTTATTCGACAAAAAATACGCAGTTGATCGTCTGTTGCTAGCACATTTACTCGATTCTATCTGATCACACGTATCTATTCTATCGTCAAAAAATCGTGCAAATTTGTAGACACCTGTAGAATGCTGGTAAAACTATAGCACACGGGGCATGTCAACTTTATGTTTCAGGGTGACTCGCTGGGGTCCTTGTGAATTGTCACTTGTTATCGGAGTGATAGTTACAGAAAAACTCATCATCAACATTTTCAACACGTTTTTAATAAAAGAAAAACATAACATTCACAAATATTGATAATTGCTACCTTAATACCTATACAATATACTAAAATTATAATTTTGTAACAACTCGATTATTCGTCTATATTAAGAATTAACTACACTATAAAGAATCTTATAAAGTTGTACCAAAAATTGTCCTTAGTTTCAAATAGTCAGTTGACTGGAAGATTTTCGTGCAACCATTGGCGTTTACCCTCATTGAATTCGGCAGCGGTGTGATCTGTGCCTTCCAATATCCATTTGGTAGTTAATAAGCCTTCAACTCCCACTGGACCTGAAAAACCACGACGTTTATAAACAAAAACAAACAACACAAACAAGCAAATAAAAAGAAACAATTGTAATAACAAATCATGATAATTATTGCTCTTATCTTTAGCTATACAGAGTTGTAACAAAAAGGTTCGTCCATATATCAACTGTACTCATGATAACAAAACAATTTATTTCCCCTACAAAATGTGCGCTTTCAACGAGATCATTTTGTATGGGAAACCAAAAATGTATTCCTCTAAAATAAATTATTATTTTGCTAAATTTGATTGTTATCATGGGCAGCACGACCGCCTGAAATGTGGAAGGACATTTCTGTTATACCCTAGACTAAATACTGCCATAGACTAAATACCGGCAGATTTACTGTAATATCATTGAAATTATAACTTGAGCCGTTTTAGGCTAAGAACTCACGGTGCGGTTTTCACCCATGCCCGTGAACAGTTTACATTCGTATTTGCATATTTGGCTCCTTTAATGTGTGTCGAGAAACCCATCAACGCGCGGTAACGCGAGTTTGGCGTTTGCTGTATTTGTCGAATAGACAAACAAGGCAAATAGTTTATCACGCAAGCTATCTACACATTTTGATTGTGTGCCAAATATATGAAACACGCAAATACAAATAGATATGTGAAGTGCCACCATTATTTACATATATGCATTCTACGGAAGCCGCGGTCCCGCAACCAGAGCCGGCGCGAGTGAAAATTGCTTCGTGACTTTTTAGCCTTAAACGAGTCTTCATAGTTCAAGACCGCTTGCAGTTCAAATAGCGGGCAGTGGAACTACCAACGCACAATGTTTTATGGAAGTCAAAGTGGCGTCCCCTTTTTATTCCAGATTCTTATTAATTACTTAGTAGAGTTTGAATGTATACAAAAGTGAGAGTAGAAATCCGACGTATCAAATATGTAAATAATGTAATTTTCATCAAACATACAAAAAAAACAATTTATAATGTTTCGACAACAAATGTTTGTACATGCATCAAAATTTTTGCGTTTGCGAGAACGCAAAAATTAAAAAAACGCAAAAAAAGTCGAAACACTAATATTAGTTTTTCGAAATTGTTTCGAAATCTTTTACAAAAAAATTACCTGCATATTTTTGAACATTTATCATATAAACTGGGTAGCTTAACCGGATGTCCCTTCTTTATTAGTAACTACATGATTTTGGTTACAATAAGAATAACAGCTACATTGTTAGTTATTTATTATGGCGTAGTCGTCATTGGATATTCTCCAAAACAAAGTCGGCTAAATCTTCTGCTCAAAGCCAGACGGTGGTCTTCTTGGTATCTTGGTGGTAAATAAACCAACAGTGATTGCATTTTACTTAATTTAAATTAAGGAAGGTACAAAAAACCGACTTTCGACACAAAATTTCAAACTCCATTAACATACAGTACGAGATTTCGGTATTTTTGGGTGAATTTCCACACATTTTAACAAAGTTAGTTGATTATGGCCTATTCCCCACTAAAATAAAGTCAACTTTTAACAAAAATTCCTGCAGATGATGTGCCACTTAATTTTATATTTTACTTTTCTACAAAATGCAAGATACAAGATTTTTTATCGAATCGATACAATCTTGAAATTTAGTCTTGTACCGCCATTGACTTACAATTATATGGACGTCGGGTCCGCGCTGAAAAGTGTCCGAACTTACAGGGCGTTACAATCGTATACAGAGCGTCATTCATGCTCTAGTCTTCGTTTGTTCGACTGACAGCGAAACAAGTAAAATTAGACAGTACTGCGATGACATCACAATTTAAATTCAACGTTTTAGCTTTTTCATATTCCTTGACATGTCACTACGTTTAAATAGGTTGACTTGGGACATTTTTTTCCTAGTTTTTGTATTAGACCCGTCGTCCATTTATTTGTAAGTCAATGTGTACCGCCCATAAATATACACAGCAGAAAAACCCATTATCATCTAGATAGATATAGACTTCTAGTCTTTTAAAATTATTTTCACATATAGTTACCTCTGGCATGAATCCTAGCCGTAGAAATGCCGACTTCTGCGCCAAGGCCGAAACGGAACCCATCGGCAAAGCGCGAAGAGACATTATGAAACACACACGCGCTGTCCACTGAGCCCAAGAATTGTTTTGCAGCATCAACTGGAAGTTAACAAATACTTGTTGTTATTAAAAGCATTAAAAGGTCATCAACTACACAATGGCAGAATTTTGAAATTGCAAATCCCTAAATTTAATCTTTAACTTTATATAGTAGTTAAAATTTTCATTCTTCACGACAAGTTAAAGCGTCTGAGCCAATATTAACCAGAGACATACAGATAGATCAGTCAAAATAAATAACAGTTGTCATTAAAACAAACCAAGCTTGTTGACTGATAATTGCAAATTTGCTTTACCATTTCACTACAATAAATGTAAATATTTAATAAGGCAAATGATACAGAAGAGAAATCACGCCACAATAAACTGATAACCACTACTTTAGATATAGAGATATCATTCATGTTTACCTTGAGACAACTATTACACTTATCTATCTTGTTTGCCGACAAACACTCAATTATCAAGTTCACACAAATATGTTTGTACTCACCATTCTCCGTGACAATAACATCTGTGTGTGAACTTCCGAATTTATGAATGTGCTCTACAGCTTCTTCAAGATTTTGCACCACTTCTATACAGCATTCCAACGAACCGTATTCATAATGCATGCTCTTTGCAGGTGGTGGTCCGAACGTCAGTCGACTAGCAAGTTTCGGGCCAGCGTGGATGATAACACCTTCTTTCTTCAACATATCACAAATTTGACTAAATAGGGGACCCGATACATGCTCTTCATGAATTAACAAAGTCTCCATTGCGTTACAAGCTGCCGGGTAGTCACATTTTGCATCTCTAACAATCTTTAGGGCTTTATGAGGGTCCGCATCTTTATCTAAATACACATGACAAATACCTTCCGCATGACCAAGAACAGGTATATATTGTGATTGTTTCTGTATATTCCTAACAAGATCCGAAGATCCACGAGGAATGACTAAATCAATGTGTTTATCCATTGAGAGCAAGTCACTTATTTCTTCTCTAGTTGACACTAGAGATATAGCTTCTTCAGCTCCAACTGGACTTAGAGATTCTCTAACGAGCTCCATGAGCGCTTTGTTCGAGTGTGCTGCTTCCTTTCCACCTTTCAATAAAAGACCGTTGGCGGAAGCCATAGCTAGGGCAGCGACTTGAGGCAATGAATCAGGTCTAGATTCAAATATAACTAATAGTACTCCGATTGGCACAGTTACCTGTCGGAGCACCAAATTTTCTGCTAATTTAGTTTTTTTAATAATTCTGCCCACGTTGTTATGACTTGAGTCAGCAATTTGTTTCAAACCAATAGACAACGTTTTCAATTTTGACTGGCTCAACGACAATCTGCTTAACAGAGGTTTAGCAAGACCACCTTTTGTAGCTTCTTCCAAATCTTTAGCGTTTGCTTCCAGAATTCGATCCTGTTTTTCAATTAACAAGTCTGATAATGAATGAATTGCTGAAGCTCTTTCTGCTGGTGTTAACTTTTGAAGGACTCTGCTACCAACTCGTGCTAAAAAAAGTTATTCTGATTCACACAGTTCTAGTAAATTAGAGCTTCAATAACGTGACGAAAAAAATACATACCATTTTCAGCCATTGTGTCAACAGATTGACTAGTAGGAATAGCATAGTCAGTGAAGAATGTGCCAACCTTCCGACCGTTAATAATGGTTTTGATAGCTTTATCTTGCAAGCCGTTGCAAATAACTACGCTGACACCACGAGCCATAGCCCACGTTGCCGCCTGCACTTTTGAGTCCATGCCACCGGTTCCCACCTGATAAGATATAATAAAAACTAATAAATAAGTTATAAAAAAGACCTGTTGAGTTGTATAGTCATGAATTTTATCTTATTGTTTTTTCTCGATTAGGGAAGTGTCCTAACGAAATCAACGATTAGATTCTAAGCATCTCAAACACCATTTAGATTTTTCGTTTTGATTCAAATTAAATACATTTTGCCTGTTAGCTATTCGTTTATGTCACTGGTGTTAATCTTTTGTGGATTCTCGTAAAAGGAACCTTGAAGGATGGTCTCAATTTCGTTGATAGCATCTGAGGAAATTAAAAAGTGAGGAGGAAAGAAAATCACTGCGCAGACGTTTCGAGGAAATTTTGTACTGTTATTTAAATATTGAATATTGGATGTACGTTTTGCTGGGTCGAAGAATTTGTTTATTTACATATTTCAAGAAAGAAACAAACGAGTTGGTACATACTAAAATTGTAAGCTTAGGTTAGCTTAACAATTTGGTACCTTACACTTGGATTAAATATAAACCACAATTATGTAAATATAATGTAGGTACCAGATGATCACATCAATTACCTGATTAACAAAGCACACATGAAAAAAGGAATTGCATGTAACGTGAGTACCAGAGCAACGGAATCCACTCCGGGGTACTATTCACAACTTCCAGACCATAACCAATTTTAAAGTTCATTTGAAAAGTTCATTTCCTCAATTGGCTCTACCGGGTATCCAGCCCAGGACCTTCTTATCTAGCGCCCACAGTTTATGCCGTTAGGCCACTGAAGTTTTCAAAATATAGACTGAAAATACTGTCCTTCATAAACTAAAAAACAACTTCTTAGGGAAATATTTACACTCATTTACACGAAATCGCACTTAGTCAATCAGAAAAAGCTGTATGTCCATGCAATAAAAGCGAAAACACGTTACGTGTTTCGTTTCCGTTCTGACTGCCGACGCGGAACCCACAACTGCTTCTTCAAAAGAGGTAGTAGTACAGACATATCTAAATAAACGCCGCAAGTGTACCTACTTCGCGTGCCCAATGTAAACTATAAACGCTTAGTTGCCGCTGCCACGCGAAAAATGCCTAATTGTCCTATTAGAAACTACAAAAATACCACAGCTATGAATAGATGAATAAACATGGACGTTACTTCCACAGTTAAACAATTTTGTAATCAAAATATGCATAATTTATTTTAAAGTAATTTCTTTTCACTTTGAATGAATTTCGAAAAAACAAATATGCAAGCGCGTGATTCGTAATATATTGCGGTTTTTATTTGGGTTGTGATCTTTCTTTTGTAGGTCATGAATATCAAACGAGCAATACTTTCGTATATTGCTTTCAGTGTCGTGGTACGGCCGATGCGTTATGTTTTTGGTCAAATTTGACGATTAGTGTTGTTCACTTGATGCATCAAATGAACATCACTACACAGTTGTCGATTCTGATCTGATCTGATCTGATTTCCTTCAGACATGTAGCTAGTGACTTGCCGATTTAAATTAATACTCGTGTCGATTATGTTGTTCAAATGAGTAATTAGTCTATTTACTTTTCTACTGGCAAGCAATCTACTCTTGTATTATTTCATCAAATAACCCATTTATTATCCGTTCGACAAGTTACATATTAAGTTTGATTCTCTAAGAGATGCTTTTTTTTGTAGTACACTATCAGTTTGGTACTACTACTATGAAGTCAATATTATCTATTGTCCTTTTTTAATCTAGATAATATGTTCGTACCAGTGTAAATACTGCAGAACAATAGCACTGAAAGTAAGAAGAAATTAAGAACAATGTTTTATACTAACAAGTTTGCCAACTTATTCAGTATAAAACATTCTGTTGTTATTAATTTAATATTGTATATAAACTATGTTACGAGTAAATAATGGCATCATATCTTTATTATAATATAATCTATTTTTATAACTAATTAATTCAATTTTATCGATAAACGTCATACAAAATTTATACTGTCCCATCCCTATGACCTTAATTGCACCAACCAGAACGAAGTATCCCGCTTCACCCTACCTTAAGTGATTGACAGAATGAATTCCGTGCAAAAAATCAAATATTTTAGGCGTCTATTGTCTATGTCGTAGATGATTTTCATTATCATAAGCTTTACTATTTACAACTTTATTTTTTGAAATGAAAAAAAGAAAAGCTAAGAAATGTGCCGGAATACAGTAGTGCGCGTCATTGATAAGCTGATTTGAGATACTTAGTTATACTCTACCGACTTAATTTTTATTTTGCCGAAAACTGCTATTAGCCACTTTTGTCGTAAATTATATTAATTATAATATGATTTAACCCGAAAACATGTTTGGAAACGGAAATAAATTTGCTTCTGGCTTTTTCATATACTAACCTAACCTACTGAACAGAAGCCGCAACCAAAATTTGACCTATGTACAATACATTGGTATTCTTTTAGACCACCATGGAATCCAGCGGGTAACAATAATAATTTTGTCGAAACGCACTCGCACGCTCAGTTACATTAACTTGGATAGTTAATTTTTCCTCACATTTAATAGGTATTAGTATCTTACCTTCGACTTCTGTCCAAATTCAACCTGGTCCTTATCTTTCGAGGTGAATGTATGCATCATCTTGGCTCCGTCTTCCCATGGCGGTTTGTTGTAAATACCATCGACGTCCGACATCATGATTAACAGGTCTGATTGGATCTCCGCTGCAAGCAGTGCCGACAGACTATCGTTGTCTTTTAAACCGATTCCCTGCCGAAGAAGGTAACGGTTAGTGTATTACTTTTGGATATTTAAATTGGATACATATCATGCCTTACAAACCTAAGAATTTTTGTAATAGTAGTTCACCAATGTTCATTGATAATGTCATATTTACGTGGCGAAAGGAATTAAAAAAAAAATAGCTGTGTTTTATGGATTGAAGCATTGGGAACAACAAGGGCATTCGGCACCCGTTTTAATCTTATTGCATCAAAACATGTGAAACACTATCTAGTATCCTGTGACAAAAACTCATTTCGATGTCCCTTCTAAATGGCGTAAGTTTCATTCATTTAGTAGGTGGCGCTCCGTCATCCTTACATGGATTACAAATGTGCGTTTGAATTTCGGACACATTACTACCTGCAGTTTATAAAAACTTATTTAAATGTAAAAATGTCTGAAACGAGCGACTTCATCCTCAACATGGAGCATCTAGGAAGCCAGTAAGACCTGCTGCAGATGAATCTGTCGATTTTTAGTAGTAGTAGAGCTCCTGGTGAAAGGGTTCGTCCAGGGAGTGCTGCCACCTTACCTATTTCTGCCGCCAAGTAGTAATGTCAGCATTACTGTGTACCAGTCTTGAAGGGTAAGGGTGCTGGTGAAATTACAAGCACATGAGATTTGTCAACTTACGTCTCAAGGTGACAGGCACAGTGGCTGTGCCCCTCAGATCTTTGCTATTTAAAGCTCTGAGTGGCACTGCAAGTGTTATGAAAGGCGTGTAGCTTACCCTCAGAAGCACGACTTGTTCACCCATCACTTGATATTATAAAAAAAAAAATCATTTCACTACAGCGAATTTAATGAATGATTTAAAATATGTTTAAATTGTTTTCAATGTAACTTTAAAACTTTAAAAATCTAACTTATTTATAAACAAGTAATCATCTTCGAGAATGATACGAAGTGTAATTAAGAATCAAACGAACTTACCTAGTGAAGTTTGATTCCAATTATAATTGAGTATCAAGAACGAAGATAATTATTTGTTTACATGCAGCAATGTGGTTTGTGCATGTAAACAAGTAATCATCTTCGAGAGCGATACGAAGTTTAATTAAGAACCAAACGAACTTACCTAGTGAAGTTTGATTCGAATTATAATTAAATATCATGAACGAAGATGATTACTTGTTTACATGCAGCAGTATGGTATGCGCATGTAAACAAGCAATCATCTTCGAGAGTAATTCGAAGTGTAATAAAACTAATATCTAAGTTTGGTCTCGTATACGCATTCTACATGTGTTAAAGTAGATATTCGTCCACATCGCCGGTCTTATTTCAGGTTACACAAAAGTTACTGAAACGTGAAATGTCAACCACAAAACCACAGCACAATGGGTCCGATTAAATTAAAGAGCGGTACGGAAAGGAGTCAGCGGTTATAAAGTATCCTTGAAAAGCATTTATGCGAGAACAATATATCGAGACCTCCTACGTAATCTGTCGTTAACTATAATAACAGGTCATTACTTTTTCACCTCACTAGCTAGCTCGGAAAGACTGTTCTCATTAGAAAACTGCTAACTTTTTCTTTCGATGAAAAAAAAAGATATAATGACACGTTCAACTACGCGATTTGTCGTACATTACATACTTGTGTAATATAAATACGTTGGTATATTTTATTCTTATTATTGTTGACATTAAATTCAATAATCACTTAATCACACAAAATTATAAACAAGTAAGTAGGTTCAATCTTAGCCTCCTTCACTTGCACAGGTTTCAATACAAGCACTTGCGTTAAACAACAACTTTGCAGGCTTGCATAACAAATAACTATTTTTCATAACTTACTATTTTCATGTATATTAACCTCCACAAAAAAATTAAATAACATGAAAAATATGGTTCGTTCTGTAGCTCAGCTGGGACAGCATCAGCCACGGTATTGCGAAGGCGCTGGTTGAAGTCCAGCCGGATCGACGGAATTTTTCTATAATAAACTAGTGGAGTAATTTCACAAAAGTAATTGCATATAAGGTTATTGATAGCACGTTTGCTACCAGCAACCACGCTATTCAATAGCCTTCATATTATGAGTGCGTATCAAATTTCATTGCAATGCCTCGATATATTAGTTGGTATTATCCTCATTTGGGTCCTTTTAATACTTTAAAACACTAACCTGCAGAGTTAGGCTGCTACCAAACGAACTGCATGCGCGAAATCCGTGTACAAATCCATACAGACGAAACCGATTGCATGCAGGGAAAAAGAAATCTCAGAAGCACTTAGTCCAGGGAACTGCGGACTGCGTTTTTCTGCCGCCAAGCGGTAATGTACCCTTAGTGCGTTCGGGTTTTAAAGGGTCAGGGTGCTGATGAGATTGCAGACACATGAGACTTGTCAACTTATGTCTCAAGGTGACAGGCGCAGTGGCAGTGTCCCTCAGATTTTTGCGATTTGACACTACAAACGGTATGAACACGCGTGTAGCTCCACCAGGCTCACGACTTGCTGTCTCGTCACGTGGTATGATGACAAAGAGAAAAGTCACGCAGACACGTCGAGTTGGACTCACGGACACCTTTACTGTCACTATTGTTATGCCGCCGGCGTAATCAAAGTCAAAAATGAAAGCGTGCAGCAGTGTAGATCTATTATTGTTATGTTGCTATAGAGAAGGTGATTTTTATGTACTGTATCCGAAATTAAGACAAGATGAAAATATTGATTAAACCTTCATAATAATTATTATATTTTGCCGTTAGTAAAAAAAGTTATTTCATATGCAAAAAAGAATAATATAACCTCGCAAACGGACTACCGTTCACATCGATGCTTGAAATTAAAGTCTCAGGGTCGTATTCCAGAACTCTACTCAATGCTCAAGTCAGGACTTGAGTATGATTTACAGCACTGAAAATCATACTCAAGTCCTTGCCATTAAGGTCGTATTTCCAGTGCTTGAAATCATACTCAAATCTGCTCAAGTTCTAACTTGAGCATTGAGTAGAGTTCTGGAATACGACCCTAAGTTAAGTTTCGACTGCATGCCGTCAATCTGTAAGCAGCGAAAGGAATATACACATATGATTCTTTACATGAGAGGTGTCGATATTTCATATTTGTACATACAGACAAATATGAACATAATTATTCTAAATGCATGGTCACTTTATAATAGCAGTCGGTACGCAGTTGAAAAACAATATGAAAGCAGCTGACACCAACAGAATCGCCCCTGCTAACTGCTGCAGTTACGATCAATCGGCATGCCAACTCCACTACCAGTGCTGCATTCTAATTACCTATATAACATTATACATAAATGACCATTGAAGTCATTGACTTACAATTATATGGACGTCGGGTCCGCGCTAAAAGTGTCCCAAATCGAAATCGTATACAGAGCGTCATTTACGCTTTAGTCTTCGTTTGTTCGACTGACAGCAAAACAACCAAAATGAGACAGTACTGCGATGACATTACAATTTAAATTTAACGTTTTAGCTTTTTCATATTCCTTTACATGTCACTACGTTTAAATAGGTTGACTTGGGACATTTTTTTCGTGGTTTTTGTATTAGACCCGTCGTCCATTTATTTGTAAGTCAATGATTGAAGTATAAAAATGGTTAATTATAAAAAAAATATATTACAGTAAAAAAAATTGTTTCTTTTTAAAAACCTGCCTGTTTAAAAACAATATACAATTTTTCGATTACACTTTTTAAGATAGCGACGGATTATGTCCATTCTTTGTGTATTATTTCCTTATTTCTTTGAAGTATCTAAATCTATATTTTATATTCCGATATGGGTTAAAATTAATCTTGAAAGGTAAATTAATGTGTAGTAAATATTGAAGAACTCACCTTCTTTCCGGTACCGGGTACAACGGAATCATCCTGCACGTACATTGGAGGACTGACGGCATCGTTCGTGTTGATAATTGGCACGATATTCAGTGAGATCAGTTCAGATAGAGTGCAGAACAAATGCTGCCGGGTCTCCTCGTTATAGAAGTCCGGTTTTGTTACCAGCACCTGCCATAAAAATAAGAATATAACACAATTGTTTCGAATTGCTGGAACAATATACCTCCACCTATCAGAAATGCTTCTCACATTTTTTGTTACTCAAAATGCACTTGTTTCAAATTCGAAATCTCCATTGTAGCTGTTGATGTGTCGGGGATGTTTTTGTACTGTGTTAGTAGTTAATTATGGCGTCGCGTAATAGTGTTTCTAGTGTTGGATACAAGTAACCGACACAACTAGAAGCGAACATTTTGTTCATGTGCAGTCGCCGGTTGCGGTAGTTGAACACTATCGCCGGTTACCGCAACCGCAATTTGTATGAAAATAGAATATTCGGTTCTAGTTGCCGGTAAGCTACCAGTATCCAACACAAGACACGTTTGCGCGGCACCGAAATATATTATTATTTGTTATTTAATAGTTGATTACTATTATATAACAATATATCTATATATAATTTTTAAATATCTAAATGAGAATTACCCTAGTTACTTTACAATTTTATGAAATGGGGTATGAGTACACATTTTTATATCAAATTATTTACAATAACATAATAACGCACACACTCATTGCCCCAAACAAGGGAAACCCTGTATCGCGGATACTATGGACACACACATATAGACAACCACAAATTACACCCAAACTCATGAGAGTAAATGTAGGCCATACGAATATTTCTCCCTACCCGGGAATCGAACCCGGAACCTCTGCGCTTCCTCTGCGTGGCAGTCCACCATGGTAATCGTTCGGCCACAGAGGCAGTAATATTGAAATAGTGTGTATGATAATGTATTTAGTTACGCATTTGCTATGTTCCATACTACGTGTATTTCTGTAACCGGATTCACTGAAAATCAGCGTCGTACTGTCAGTGAGACGACAATAATATAGTATAACTTATTGGTCTTAACCAAGTATGGTAACTCCATACAAACGTAGCACCGCGGCTTGTATATGTGCGCCCGCCGCATGTCGTGTACGGACGCACACGTTCGCATAATGCCGCGATACACTCGCTTTGCGTAACACTGGTCGTCTTACGCCCCTTTCATTATTATGCGAGTGTGTGCGTCTGTACACGACACGCGTTTACATGGAGTTACCCTACTTGTCTTATTGTTATACTATGGCAATATTTCATTGACTGTCCAGATCCTGTGCAAACAAATGCTGTCAAGCGAGTTCCTACGTCGTGTTATTTCTCAGGTCAATGATTTGTTTAGTATTATTGCCATAATATTTTACCTGCTTCTAAATTTAAAAAATCTATTATTGAAGCCAGGTAATTTGTTTTTGTTTACTTTTTACTTGTTTTTGTTTTGTCGTACCCATCACACACGACAATTTTAATTTTAATAGTAATTTGTAGATAATGTTGTTGATTGTACGTATGTATATATGTTACAATTTCACAACACTGAATGTAAACATACCATGTACAATTGTTTGTTATACCTGAAAAATAAATAAATAAATGACAATAAGCTCAGTGGATGACGGATTCCGTAACAGCACAATACATACGCTGCCTGTTATGCTCGTTATTTATTCGTCAAATAATTATTTGCTAAGTTTTTTATTCTTATTACTTATTTGTTAATAAGTACCATAATGAGGCGTGTTGTGCTTTTCGCTTGTTTTAAATCTTGTAATGTACTGTAGTTATATAGTGTGTGTGCGTGTGTGTGTGTGTGTGCAGGAAAACAATAATGATTTCTATCTTGTATAACCTATATACGAATTAAATTTACAAAAGTTATAGAAAAATTGTATTTGTGGGACACTCAAGAATTTGGTTAATCAATACCTAATAAGGTATATAATGGAAGTACGGAGTCTCGTCGTAGAAAAGGGTCATGGTCCAACAGGCTGGTCCTAATGATGTAAAGTATTTCTTCGTAAGGTTAACAGATTCTTCTCGAACAATCGTTAATAAACTAACTATTTGATAATTAATCAGTGGTGCAGATCCGCCGCTAGGAAATGAATTTAGGATCTCTTAGAGTATACCTATAGTAGATAGCATGACAGTTCTTTTAACCGGTTTATCGCCGCTTTTTAATTAAAGCTTAATTTACATTTGTCTGACGTGTCGTGTCGTGACGCGTCAGAACGGCCGTCACTACACAAGCCGTTACGTCAGATTGTGACACACTAACATAAATGTAACCATGTGAAATGTACGAAACCGATACCGTTCTGACGCATCACAACACGGCACGTCAGACAAATGTAAATCCGACTTTACTGTTATCCAAATTTATAAAAGGTGTGTAATATGAAGCTAAACGCAAATGAGAGAAACGTTGCATGACGCTAATCGTATCCATGGTATAATAAAGACACATGTGATCATATGTCAAAAGTGCTTTTATCTCATGACAGTCGTCAAAAAAAATATGTAGCAGATTGTATCAATGGGGTTTGGGTGGTTGCTATAAAGAGTGAGCAAGACCAAAGAATGTACTTATAGTTTATTTAACAAACAACGCGTAGCTATCAACCAAAACAGAGACAATAGTGACAATAACAAGAAAAGGCACCAAAAAAAAAAATTAAATTTAGAATTTCAATATAAAACTAAAAAAGACTATAATATAAAATATATATACAAAAAAGATTTGTAGCAACTGCTGCGGTTCGCTACATCAAAGACAATCAAGGGTGTACATATTCTCGAGTCATTTTTGGTAGACGTACAGTACCTTGTGAAAGAGTGCGTCCAGGGAAGTATTGCCAGCTTACCTATTTACGCGAGATAATCCTGGAGATTCGCGAAATTTTCGTAATCGAGATTCCCGGAATGAAAGCCCTAGTTACAAGCCCTTCAACTAAGCCTTCCCAATCTGATAATATCAGATATCATTTTATGACACTCATCGTGTCATATTATCATATAACAATCTCATTACTCGTGAGATAATTACACACTTACTAGAGTTCAGGATTCAAAGAATGAACTTCTGATTCTACTGAAAATTCTACTCTATACCTAATTAACAGACGGGAAGACCGCATATTAGCCAAAACCAGATAATTTCCACCCTACCTCTCTTAAGATGGCTTCCCACCTCCTATTATTTCACGGGGCATGTCACACCACAAGCAAGCTTTATAAATACAAAGGTCAAATATTTACTTAATACCTCTTTTCATTTGGTAAAATAAAACTCGTGAATAATTTTACGATCCAGCGAGCTACGGGCTTTAATCAAAACATTCCCTAACAACCTGAACATTTTCAATTAATTATACGAAACTATTTCTGGCATTAACAATGAAAGTACACTAATATTGTCGTAGCCTAATTACTTCTACTAATACATATCAAATTTCCCTAAACCAAGCAAGTGCCTATTGTGAGCGCTGAATCTAAAGCCTAGAGGGTATCGGTTTTAATCATCGATATTCGCGAAACACACCTGCGTTTGTGAATCGAATTTTGACTTCGTATAATACGCAGCAAACAGATTTATTTCATGATTTCAGAGAGCAAAATCAAGTGAGAATCAATCTCTCGCGAGTTTGGGTGTAATTTGTGTCCATGGCACCCACGAGAGTTTTCCTATTACATGGCAATAAGTGTGCATACACTACAAAACAAAAAAAAAATTAAACTCATGTATTGCGTATGAATGTGCGTTTACGTCCGTGTGTTTTAAATGTCAACCAGTAATTTCTCTAATAATATTTTCATAGTAAAAAGTTCTACTTTAAGCAAATATTCTTAAATTAATTGTATAATCAGTACAATCTAAAATCAAAATCTTTGAACAGTTTTTGGAACTCTAAATGCGTAGTTTGTTTGGTCAAACTTTACGGAATATTGTACGTAGCAAATCAAAACAAAAATGTTTCAAACTTTTGTGTACAAAGCTGCGAATAAACAGAATTTAATATCTACAAAATAGACTGAATGTTAATCAATCTACCAACCTATGTAAACAATAAAAGTTTAATAGTAAATTAGTTTTAATAACTAATTTTATAACATGAACTCTTATAACTCCTGTAACATTTAATAAAACTAAAGATGAAATTAATTATTTAGTCCAATATTATATACGATAAAACAAACGCTGTTACTAAACGAAAAAGTTAACTTTCTGGAATTAAGCTTTAGTGTTTCTCAAAATAACTTTAAATTAAATAGGCGAGATTTTCGTTATTTACTTACTAAGAATTTCGACATCTTAAGTTGTAAGTCCAAATACAATATTTTGCTTTTTAACCTAAATATATATTTATTAAAACTTTATTGACCACAAGACATGATGGTACAAAAGGCGAACTTAATGCTAAAAGCATTCTCCACCAGTGAACCTTTAAGAAAAACGAAATTCACGATCGCGGCGAATTATTATATTAATAAATTATATTGACACATCCGTAGAACAAAGGTCTATGTGCAAGGCTACTTATTCTCAGGACATAGTACATTTCGTTCATTCTTCTTCGCTGTGAATGTGATCTGACATTCACAGCGAATTCGATTATTGTTCAATTTTATAATTTCCGAAACGAAACAAGATATATAAATTCTCAAAACACCTTTACGTAGGCCTTAGTTTGAATAATGAAATTATTATGTAACGTACTTATTCTCTTTTCGCTACATAATCACATCGGACTCTGTTCTTCGGATGAGTCGATGTATTACATATTATCATTTAAATTATATTAATAATTAATTAAATTTTTATTGAATTGATATTCAATTATTTTTTGTGAAATTACTCCACTAGTTTGTTATAATTATTAATACAAAGATCGAACACAGAAAAAACACTCAGAAGCTTAGTTGGTATAGCGTCTGGCACGGTATGCAAGAGGACGTCGGTTCGAATCCGACCGGATCGAAGGAATTTTTCCTGAGTGTTTTTTCTGTGTTCGATCTTTGTATTAATAATTATATTAACAATTATTAAACAGAATATTACGTTAATAATAACTTATAATGTAATAAGTATATAAATTTTTTTATATATTTATGGGTTCCGTGTTTGAAAAAAACTATAACATTAAGTGATTTCCTTACTTTTAAATATGAAACCTATAATACGCATAAAAAGGATTTAATACTTAAGTAAAAAAGTAAAAAATTGTATTTTGACTTACAACAACTTACGTGAGAGGTATCGTTTTATTTACTTTTATTTATTATTTATTTTTATTTGTGGATTTTGGGACATCACGAAAAAATACATGTGTACTTGAAACATTAGTATATACGAGTACACGTTACATTAAAGAAAGAAAGAAAAAACGTTCATTCAATCAATCGAGTCACTTTGCACACTTAAATCTAATACTTGTCGCTTGAGAACAAGTTAACCATCTACATAACAGTCCTCAAACCGATTTGGAGTTATGGGTCACAACTATGTAATAAATTTCAAACTTACTCTAAGGGTAGAAATACTGGCAGAATGAATATAGGTTTAGGTTTAGAATGTATTTTAAAAAATAAGAGAAAAAAGATAAGAAGATCTTGACAATTCGAAACTAGATTCCAAATTGAATATACATGTTACCAGAGTTACGTCTTCTGTAAATGCTGGAGGCAAGTCTATAGTACTTACACATAAATGGGTGAGATTCATGATTATCTAAAAATCCGTACTGCCAATCATGGGACAAGTAGCATAACAAAAGCCTGTAGGGACAGAATCTCACAACATGAAAACATACTTGCACAAGCTCTGAACGAACGTCTAAGTAACAAATGGTTAAAGAGGCGCCACACGTGGAACTAAAGAAAGGAGACATTGGAAAGATGAAGCCAACCTAACACAGGGCGGGCGAGGCAAACTCGCCAAATATATCAACAAAACATCTGCTCATGGACCGATCGCGTGTTGCAAAAGGCATTAAAAAATTTAATAATTAATTCTAAAACAAAAAGTTATTCATAACAGAGTTATTTTTAGATCAGTAAGTATGCATAGTGGCGTAAAAGAGAAAAGAAAAAACGATTCAGCAAAATGTTTAGATCAAGCGAGGCAGACACTGATTTCCTGTAGTTCCTGTTTTAGCGTCGACTGAGTCCTAAGAGAATAGTTCATTTGCTGTATGCCATTCTCTTGGGACTCAGTTGAATGACTACAATTTATCGGTTCACGGCAGCCACCTTGTCGGAACCGTTTGAAGCTACGATTTTCTGTCGTCACATTTTTATCGTGGCGTTTTATTTATCGTCGGAGGACTATCTTTCTAGCTCTTCCCATTATCACGACAGTCTGTCGTCGTAACGTCAAAAAGTCGTGAATGACAGTTAATCGTGTTGAACAACAGGTGAACAACTTCATTTAAATATACAAGTCACGAAAACTTTAAAGGGCACTACTATCTGTCGTTAGGATATAATGGGAACGCGCCCTGCCAGTGTTATACAATAATAATAATAAACGTAGGTAACCGTAAACAGCACCCAGCGGCGTGCGGCACATACAACCGGCATGCTACGTTAGTTACTTTTTATACGCATACACGTAGTAATGCATTGTTCAAAAAGCCGTTTTGTTATTGCAACGAACGAACTGTAAACAGAAAAATTTTAAGAATAATATTTACTCTGCCGGTCATGGAATTACTATTCCGACTGTGCAAACTGAACGTAAGCACGAAAAATGTTATTATATATATATATTATATGTTTATAGTACAATACGGGCAACATTTGCATATGACATGCAAAGTAAGTACGTACGTTAGATGTAATTTAATTTTATGCGCCAAGTGTCCCGAGCGGCACGAATTAAAATTATTTTGCGCATGAATACATTATTGTCACGAGTGACCAAATATGACATTCCGTAACTTATTTTTTTTAATTCCACTGATTTTTGCAATACATCTTATTGATAGACATGAAATGAAAATGAAATATTTATGTACACATATATCATAATCCCTCTATTATGTGTTCAAAAACCACAAATTACGACCAGCGTAAAGATAAAGTATGTTATTAGAACAAATTTCTTAAATGTGAAAATGTTATTATTGCTATAATAACATCAAATTCGACAAAAACAAATCAATTTGATTCGACCTCGGTTCTACTATCAGTCGAGATTAAGTTTTATTCGAAATACAATGTCAATAGCAAACAATTTTGACAAATTTCACACGTTACTTAATATCGAACGATATGATAGTTGGGGCCGACTACAGTATCTATGAATTAACTACGGTTATAAAACGGATAAAAAAGAAAAAACTACGGTTGCGTGACATGCGTGAGAGAAGTTTTTATTTGCCGCCATTTCGCCAGGCGTAACATGTGGTTCCTGAACACATCATAGATAGCTTATAACATGTGTATAGATAAGCAGTGTATGTAACTGTACATAATTAGGCATTAAAACACTCGTGTGATGTTTTTATGAATCTCGCCTGTCGGCTCGTTTCATAAACCCACACTCGTGTTTTAATGCCTTTCATTATGTAACAGTCGCATAAACTACTATTAGTATTCGAGAGTAGTATCCTGGAATATTATTTAACTGTTGTTTTTACTCAATTGAAGAATTTTTTGACTACAAAAATAATTAGGTATTTGTTTAAAGTTGACATTATTGAGACTTGTTATTTTAAATGTATAAGATATTTTAATAATTATGATAGATATACTCATTTTAAGGTAAATTTGCATGCTATTACTAGCTAAGTGTGAGAACCTGTTAATAGAAATATTATATATTAAGCCAACTATGTACACCATACTTAATGCGAATAAATTATTATTATTATTATTATTATTATAGAATTTCAATTGAAAATTAAACTGCTAAAAGACTATGTAAGAAAAGATTTGTAGCGACTTCGATTTGGTACAAGGAGAGAGGGAGAGTTATAAAATTTCACATAAACATAAATTTATTTCATGTAGTTCGTATTATTTTTATGACATTCATGTGGTTTCACTTTTGACGAATGATCACAAGACATGTGGCTTTGTTACCCTAAGAGTACGATTTGTTGAAACAACTGGCCTATTTGATATAATATGCCCAGGGCATCATAATAACTCGTGAAAGTTTTATCGCAATCGAATGAATAATAATGGAACGTATACAGAACATACCAAACATTAATTTATATTAATAAACCTATAGGTAGTCACTTTCGCGTTATGACACAAATTTATGAAGCAAATTTGAAAAAGGTCAACCTCAATGTATGTTACATGTTCTGCCCTCCTGATCATAACTAGCGCATTTACATTTCGATAACTTTCGAGATATTGGCGCCAAAATTTTTTTGGTAGTAAAACGAATAAAAAAATTCCAAATACGCTGATTTCGCTTAAGCGTCGATACTATCTCAGCTGGAATTCAAATTTTTCCCGTAATAATCCGGTTCATTGTGCTCGGGTCGAGCAGCTGACAGGGACACTGGCTTTATTTCAGAATATTTTTTTACAAACGAAATTAAAGCTATTTGAAAAATGTACACCGTATAGTATACGAGTAGTATACAAGGTAAGTTTGTTTTTTTTTTATAGTAAAAATTTTTAGGAATAGTGTTTTCATACCGCATATTAATCAGTTTGTATCCTCAATTTTACTATATATTTTTTCCAAAGGAATTGATTCAACACTTTTTTATGAGGTATGAGGTTATATAGACTCTTAACAATAAAACTGAAACTAAATAAGGCAAAAAAAAAATCGATTTGAGGGTGTTGTAGATCTCGCTTCGTTAATCCCAGATATGTCAATAACTCAATTTCGCTAAAAATGTCGATTAGGTGGCAGTGGCATAAGGAGGGCGGTATTTCACCCCAGATCATAGATATCTATTTCTATGCCCCAAATTGAGGAGATCCTCAAAAAATGTCAGATCGAAAATACCAAGAACAAAAATAAAATTTTACAGTTAAAATAATGCGAACAGAAGAAGCGAAAGAAGTATGTTAAGAACATAGTAATTTAAGATTCGTGGTCACTGCAATGGAGTAGCCATTAGCGGTAGGAGACATTCAGACTTGGTTGGCTTCTTTTCCTGTTCCAACTTACCTGGGCTATCTTCACGTTGTACTGAGAGAACATGGCGTCGTACATAGACATCAGCTCGGATTGGCCCACCGCAGCAGCCGCTCGCGGATCCAGAGTACTGCCTGCATCCTGTACAAATTAAATAATTTTAATTGATATCCTTCCTCATGGTGACCAAAGCCAATCTCTGAACGAACTGAAGATCAGTTCAAGAAGACAGACCCATGTCTTTCTATATTAGTTATGATTACAGTGGGGTCAACCTACCGACCCTTAAGGTACACGAGAAGGGCACTACAACCTTATAAGTTCAGGTTATGACCCCAGAACAGCCAGTGTACAGGGTTGTCACAGACCGTTGTCACTGGCTTCATCCGGTTCTCAAGAGGCAAGTGCCACGGGTGAGCCGCCCCGGGTGCACGTACAGTACCCTCACTATTTTCCAGATAGGTACCGGAGCTGTAGGCACGCTCACTTCCCGTTGCACATTGCACAACTAGCTATTGCCACCGCTAAGCCGTCGACTCTGAGTCCACTACCAAATCTCCTCATTGGTGGCAGAGCTGTAAGGCATGATCCCTTCCCGACGCCGAAAAAACGACGTCTCTCCAGTTCCCAATAATTTAAGCGGCTGGAGGGACCGGAGGATATTTAGCTTATCCTCTACTAGCTCTCCGGGCTAGTCCCGGAGATGCCAGTCGCAGTGTCCTGCGACAATGTCCGGACTTAGCTTCCAACTGAAAGGGCACCACACGTACCCCGCGCGTCTCCTCGCTTCAGGGGCAGACAAACATGTCCGTCTCTGCAGCTAACCACAAACCCCAGTGGATCCATACCCAAATCCGGGTCCATCAGAGACCAGCAAAGGCATATCACTGGCGGAGGGCTTGGCCCAGACCCCCACTGTACCTCAGGGTACAGAGCCCGTAGTCTCTCCAGAAAACCCTATCTCTACTAGGGAAGGAGGCAGTGCGACTGCCAGAAACAGTCACAGTAGGACTACTTGTAAAGGGGTTCGTTCAGTAACGGACTGCCACCTTGCTTATTTCTGCCGGCAAGAAATAATGTGAGCATTGCTTTGAAGGAATATTACTTGAATTTATGTCTGGGGGGACGGGCGCAGTTGCAGTGGCCCACAGATTTTAACGCTTTAAAGCTCCGACTGGCACTGCCACTGCTATGGCTAGGCGTGTCGCTTACCACTACACGCACGACTTGTTCGTCCCGTTACTTGGCATCAAAAAAAATATTGAAAGACCTCGACGGCACGGTTCTCGATAAAACCTTTTCAGGAAACTGACTTTTCTAAATTGGCTTTGGCCTGAGTGTACTGGATAGTCTCAGGGATTAATTTCATTGCTTTGGTGCTTACAGTACCGGAAAGTTCCTAGAAAACGACCTTAAGAGTATATTCGCAAATTCACTGATATGACCTCTATAATGTTATGTGTAAGTGTGTCGCTTACCACTAGGTACTGTAGCCTTGAGTTATATTATAGTACTTACACTTGTTTGTGCACGTAGAGCAAGCTATCGCTTTTTTTTCAAACGTTAGCCTTTTAAATCTTAATAAAGATGTCGATTAGATTAATAACCGAAATTTATTTTATAATTTTATACTAACGCGGATGTGCGGCAACAAGCGGGTAAACTAAAATGAGACTGGGCGGGTCGGTGACAGTATAAAATTGTAAAATAAATTGTGGTTGTTCATCTAACCGATATCTAGGATTTTATAATACTCTATGTGAATAACGAGCTCTGCCGAAAAAAACCGAGAAATGCTAAAGTCACGTGTTACGCTCATTTCAGTGAATTGAAAACTTTAAAACGCTCCTCTGTAAACTTGGCAATTTCGACATACGATACTTTACGTAGTGTGTAAATTCAAACCCAGAAAATATTCCTAGGATTACGTGAATGCCGAGTGTTCGTTGTAATAAAAATATTACATTAAAATTTAACTCTACGTATTTTATATGAACATAAAGCTCAGGGTATTTAGCATATATTTAGCAAATTTAAATATACTAAGACCGTTTAGCGCTTTTCTCATTGTAGTTTGCTGAGAGGCTATTTCAAGGCGCACTAACCATATCAATGGTACAACGCTTGCTTTACATACTCCAATATTTAAAAAAAACTTTAAACAATTTGTTATAATTATTAATAAAAAGATCGAACACAAAAATATACTCCTTGGATCTGACAGGATTCTAAAATCCAAAGATATGTAACAAACACAAGAAATTATTAAAGTCTGCTGACTCGATCTGTAATAAAAATGGAAGTAAATTAATTTACTACTCCGTGAACCCAGTCATATTTCGGAGGCGCTACTCGAGGCGAGACTTGTTTTTTCTTGTTTGAAGAAATGTATACTTTATTTAGTAGAGAAGATGTTCTATAGTATATTCTATAGCGCATTTTACAAAGTGCGCCCACCGCAGACTCTGCAGCCGGCCGTCGCTTGCTGCAGCTTCGTTTTCATTTGTTTGTTTAATGAAATGTTGCTTTATTCTCTAGATGATAAAGTTAATGTTGCCTAGCTCGTTTTAATGCAGCGCATCGTTGCGTTGCGTCTCGGCGATATGAATCAAGCCTAAACCGCGCACAATAGCTGCGCTTGTGTTGAATATTTTTATATGATTTTACTTTCACTGGGTACGTGCAGTAGCACATTAATTTACTTCCATTTTTATTATCAATTACTTCGATCTGTGTGCATGATCGAACCTGCGTTCGAGTCTCCTCATGTCAAACAAATTTTCCTTTGACTTCGATCTTTGTATTAATAATTATAACAAACTAGTGGAGTCATTTCACAAAGTATAAATAACTAACACGTTAGTAATACTATCAGCAATAGAGCTCCTTCCAAGAGGTCGTCCTGGGCAGTACTGCCACGTTACCTATTTCTGCCGCCAAGCAGTAATGTGAGCATTATTGCGTTCCAGTTTGGAAGAGTAAGGGTGATATTACAAGCATAAATGCTCCAAGTGGCACTGCAACTGTTATGGATAGCCGTGTCGCTTGCCATCAGGCGAACAGGTCGTGTGATAACCGACACACCTATCATGATATTCAATAAACATTATTATTTTAACGATTTTACACAGACAAACATTTTGTGAAATTGTTTCACTCAGATGGCAACCGTGATTAGTGCGCATCACATCCATGTGAATCCACTAAACGTGATGAAATACGAAACAGCGAATCACTACACAAGAGTATTTCAGAAATGGGAGCTCTATTAAATTTAGAATGATTAATAGTACCAGACCAAAACGTCGGTTCTCCGAATAATAAATCAAATAACTAACACAGATAACGGATAATCTAAGTACCTAGGTCTATTCTAAAGACGCCTTAAGACTTAAGGGGACGCGAGCGTCGAAACATTGGAGAAATAGGTATTTGAAAAAACTAAGAAAAAACGATTGCTATCGCTATTCACCTAGATACTGTGCGACAAGGACAACTGCAGTTTTTGTAGTTAAAAAAGGTAAAATTCGATATCTGGATCTCTATGATTTCCTTCTTCAAAATTGAATCTATATAAAAGATGTTTCACACAAAGAATAAGAAATAGTTGTACTAGGTACAAGTAGTTGTACTATGAGAGATAAGTTTAAAGAGATTAACATTCTTACACTAACGTAACAGTACATTCATGAAATAGTTATTTTTAATACAGTTGCTCAAAACGTGGTATTTTTCGTACTACAAATCGTGCCGAAAGTTGGGATTTTTCGCATTAGTGCTTTTTATTTTTCCATTTTGAAACAACAGTAAATTAAAAGTAATTTACTGTTGTTTCAAGTCTTAAACATAGAACTAAAGAGGTTGTATATTTATTTAATATTTATGTGCTTTGTGATGTAAGTCATTCGTCATTACAACTTATATTTACTTACAAACATCTTATTTGTTTAAATTGCATAGGTGTTTTATAAAACAACGGGTTACATTTAAAAATACCAAAATATTTCCATAAAGATGGCTGATTGAGTATTAACAATGACCGGAGATGAGTATTACGCGAGACCGCTGCGCGCCGCGCCACTAAAATAGTAATTTCATTGTGGCTGAATACTGGCAACAATTGCCATTGCACTCTGAATTTTTATCAGATAAAGAAATAAAATGAGTTTTTTTTTAAAATACTGTTTTATTTTACTTTCAATGTAGTTTGTTCGCAAATGTATTAAAAAACGTCGTTTGATATACGTGCGGATTTGTCATTTTCACTTGTCTCGAGTCTTGTTTGTTTGTTTGTTTCATTTTTGAGTAAATGTAAGTTATAATTATTAATACAAAGATCGAACATTCAGAATAAATTCCTTCGATCCAGCCAGATTCGAACCGACGTCTTCTAGCACACCATGCCAGACGCTATACCAAGTAAGCTACGGAACGAACCAGCGGACCTCACGAATTTTTCTATGTGCTTGTTGTCGTGTCTTTGTATTTAGTTTTTCAACGACTTTTTAGTCGTAGCGCCATCTATGAGAAATCTATGAAAGTTTTATCACCCAGTTAGATACCTTTACAAACGTTAAATACCTGTAAAGGTATAGCGTCCCCTCTTACGTTCTTCTACATTTAAGTAATCGATTAACTCTGTTGCTACATTCTCTAATTTGAAATGTATAACGATAAAATAAATACCAAATATATACATATATATATAAGTACCACCAAAATAAAACATGCTAGAAGGATGTAGAGCTCCTTGTGAAAGAGTTCGTCCAGGGTAGTACTACCACCTTACATGCTTCTGCCGCCAAACAGTAATGTCAGCATTACTGTGTTCCGGTTTTAAAGGGTAAGGGGTGCTGGTCGTGATTGTGATTGTGATGGTCATTACAGGCACATGGAAGTTGTCAAGTTATGCTTCCGGGTGACAGGCGCAGTGGTAGTGCCCCTCAGATCTTTGCAATTTAAAGCTCTGGGTGGCACTATTATGGACAGGCGTGTAGCTTTCCATCAGGCACACGACTTGTTCGTCCCGTCATTTGATGTTATAAAAAAATGCTGTTTCCTTTAAAAAAAACAAAAGCAATAAAAATGGCATCTACGACCCACATTTACTTACGAACCACTGGAATATTTTATAGATACGTCAAGGAGGCTCGAGTTTGTTAAAGAGTTAAAGAGAGAATTTTCAGCACATACGTATACTCCCGAATCCTACTAGTAATTAGAGATAATGAATCAAGGGGATCTTTGTTTTGGTTCCCAGAAGAACGAGTAAGACCTACTTAAATTCAGTGCATAAAGCAATTGATGTACAATTTATTTATTGAATATCATGATGTTTTTTACTACCATGATTTTTTTTGTGAAAATACACCTCTAGTATGTTCTTCATCATCATCACTCATTTATACGTCCCGCTGCTGGACACGGGTCTCCTCTCAGATGAGGAATTAGGGCGTAGTCCCAATGCGGGTTGGGGACTTCACACGATTTCCGGGGGTTATGAACCTTCTTCATTGTGTAGGTTTCATTGTGATGTTTTTCTTTACCGAAAAGCTCATGGTATATTTCGAATTAAATTTCGTATATAAGTTCCGAGAAACTCAGAGATGCGCGCCCGGATTCGAAACCACGACCATTTGCTTGAAAGGCAGTATGTCAAACCATTACGCTATCGCACTTCAACTAGTACTAATAAGTAATAACTACTTTGCTAGTAGTATACAGCTCAAATTTTACTTATTTAAATAGAAAAAAAGAAAGTAAAAAAAGTGATGCGAGAAGTTTATAGTTAAGTTAATAATGATTGTAATTTTGAATAGTCATATTATTCTAAATTGACCTCAAAAGTACGTGGAATTGCATCAATTTGCCAAGTTTTATTGCAATCGGTTATCGGAAAGTGCGCAAACTGTGCGGATTCATCCCCTAGTTCGCCACTATAGGGAACTTGACACAGGAGATAAATATAAAATCGGTTCTCACTATGAGAACAACGCCTTGAATTGGAGAATAACAAAATCAACCATTAAAATAATTGCTCCTTACAATAAAATTTAGGCGCTATTTATAAAAATGAATGTTCATGCGTGAACAGCCACCCTTAGAGATGAATGATTTTTTTCAAAATTAAATGTGACCACTATGGGGGTACCCTTTTTCCAACAAAAAAAGAATCATCAAAATTGGTTCACAAATACCGGAGTTATCGTGTAACATACATCCAAAACAAACAGTCGAATTAAGGAATCTCCTCCTTTTTTTGAAGTCGGTTAAAAAAATAAAGATCGACTAACACGAACCAGCGACTGTTGCCATGCCGGGGCTGATTTTTACCAACGTAGCTCAGATGCTTAAGAGCAACAGACTCGGTCGAAGAATTTTTAGTGTTGTTCGTTCTTTATATCAATAATAATAACTGATGGTAAAAATTAATCAGTCATTTATAAAACAGATTTAATCGACCGTGGTGGAATTTGACCCTTGAAACGTGTTAAATGAAATCACCTCCATTATTACCGGCGAATGCTTTCTCAAAAAGGCTTCCTCGCGACACACGGGAATGTTTGAAATTGTCCTTTTTGTGACGGCGTAGGAGCCGGAAATTGTAAAACGAAAAAGTAGTGGAGTAACAATAAAATTGCAAAACGCCGCCTGCCAGAGGCCAGATCTGTGATCATCATCATCAAACCGTTTATACCTCTCCTTGCTTGGCACGGGTCTCCTTCTAGAGACTCCGTCTATAGTCTCTTCCAATTTAGCAGCCTTATAGAGAGTTTATTGTCATGGTCAACAGGCCTGTCAACCTTGTGCATATACATTACGTACAGCGGAAAGTAGTGACCACGGCAAAACCTCGTAAGTATTTACTCTGCAAAAAGAACTTTTTTTTTATGATACCAAGTGCCGGGCCGAACAAGTGGTGCACCTGGTGGTAAGCGACATGCCTGTTCATAACAGATGCAGTGCCACTCAGAGCTTTAAATCACAAAGGGTACTGCCATTGCGCCCGTCACCCTGAGACATAAGTTAGCCCCTTACCCTTCAAAACCGGAATGCGGTTACGTAACAATAGTCCGAAATGACATTTCCAGAAATAACGTTTGATCGAATTTTCATAACCTCGAAAATAATTTTGAGAGGAAAATGTTTTTTTTAAACCTAACCGAATCTAATCGTGTCTTTGCGATAAACAAAAAAAAATTCGATTTCGGACAAAAAAAATTCGACTTTGTGATAGGTTACCCCGGAATGCACTAATGCGCATATTACGGCTTGGCGGTAGAAATAGGTAAGGCACTTCCTTGGACGAACTCTCACGTTACGATCATTACGTTAAAGTTCTATAAAATCGATTCGCAATATTGTCGTTATAGTTACTATCGCTATCCCAAGGTAGAAAGTCTAGACAAACATATTAGGGTCGGGGATTTCACACATTTTCCAAAGGTTGTCAACCTCTTTCGACTTGCAGCTTTCATAACGATATTTTCCTTCACTGAAAAGCTCAGGGTAAATTTTATATTAAATTCCGAACATAAATTCCGAAAAACTCAGATGTGCTAGCACGAATTCGTATCTACGGCCTCTACTTAGGCGGGAGGTCAAATCATTAAATTACCACAGCTCCCATCTGTGATAGGTAACCAAACTCCGAAAGACTTAAATCTTAGATCACCGTAGTCTAAAAATGTGTTCAGTCTAAAAAAGATCTCACCTCTTTAGTATTATCACTAGGTGACAAAGTCTCTCTCATAGAGAGCGACATGAGCAACTCCTGGGTCAACTTCTGCCTGCCAAAAGCCACGGCACCGCTGCTCACCATTATCACCTCACGACCCTCGTGGTGACATTCTGCTACCTGCAAGTGAAAAAAAAAAGTTTAGAAGACAACGGGCTAAAAAAATTAATTCATAAAATCTAAAATCATTAAATTTTTAATTTATTAATACAAAGTTCGAACACCGGCCGGATTCGAATCGACGTCTTCTAGCATACCGTGCCAAACGCTGTACCAACTAAGCCACGGAACGAACCAACGGACCTCACGAATTTTTCTATGTCATTAAATTTAATTAATAATGATGTCAAGTTCACGTTAATTGTCTCTTTATTTGCTAGTTATGTTACTTTTATTGAAACATTAAAGACTTTGTATTGTAGAGGTGTACAACGTAAATAATCTATATTATGATAGCGCTTAATTATGTGCTTAATTATGTGCTCACATAATTTTGAATCTGAGACCTCCTGGTCTTATCTCATATCTTAATTTGGTAAACGCACTTTTCTAAACTATTCTGGTAAATGGTCCGGTCAACCCTGTACACTGGCTGACCTGGGTTCAGAACCTGAACTTATAAGGTTATGTCCTTCCCGCATAACCAAAGAGGTTGATAGGGAAGGTCACTATAATCAAAACTTATGTAGAAAAGATATGGGAGCTGTTCTGATCTTTGGGCTTTTGGGTAGAGATCTGAAGTTTTGTTGCTCTAATACTTTTTATTATACCAAGTGACGGATCGACGACAGTCATGCGCCTAGTGGTAAGCGACATGCCTGTCCATAACAGTTGCAGTTTCAGTCAGAGTTTTAAATCACGAAGATCTGAGGGGCACTGCACTAAACCCTTTAATTAAAACGGGAACGCAGTAATGCTCACATTACCACTTCGCGGGAGAAATAAATAATGTGGCAGTACTTTCCTGGACAAACACTTTCACAAGGACTTCTACTGCTGCTAAACTAGGATTGAAATAGTATTAGGATTTTTCTTGTTTAAGACCATATGTGGTTATTCACTATTTACATAACTTATACATATATTTTGGACAAAAATCTGTATAGCATTTTCTCATACTACTTACAGTACGTATATACAATTTAACAGCTCAGCAAAATCGAATTTTGTGCTAAACTAAACAAACCACAAGTAGAAAACGTACGTGTGATGACAAAGGGTTACTAAAATTTTTATCTAACCACTACTATTGAAACAATCTATACTAGAAGTTCCCAAACTGTTTTGTGTTGTAGACCCTGTGCCAAGTTTTTGTGTTTTGGGTAGACCCCCTGCCTTCTAAAATATTTTTTTTTTGCATATTCCTCAACTTTAAACGTGTTTATGACACAACTGACACCGTGTTACTTATTCAATTTAATGACTTTAATAATAGATTGAAAAACTAAAAAACACATATGTTACACTTTACACATTTACCAAATGAAATTTAGCTCTATATCTTTGTCATGTTCCATAAACATTTATACGCGTGTCTATTTCTTAAGTTGTCGGGATGATTACATATTGGAAATGAAACTATTTTTTTCGGATCTAAATGTATCGTATATTTGTTTTTTCAAAGAAACCGACGGCCCTGTACACCAGGCTCTCTTAAATTCCTTTTAATCATGTAGGTCCCTTCTCAAAATTTCAAAGAACCACAAGCCTTTCTTTTTCTACATCTTCATCTAACAAGAAGAAAGCGCATGAGTCACCTGATTGGCCGTCAACGGGCGCAAAAATTCAAAAAGGTCACCCGCATAGTAACTGTTTACTCATAACAATATTTTTTACATTACTGCATTACGTTAGGCAGTTTCGATCCACGATGTTCTTTACGCGGACTCCTTAGGGGTTCATGGACCACAGTTTAAGAAACCCAACTCTACCTGACTGTTTCAGACGTAACCATGGCATATTTTAAAACACAAATATACACGGTTAATCCGAAAAAAAATTGTTTACTTTCCAATTATATATGTATGTATGTTTATTTACTTGTTACATATTTTAAAGTACATTTTAAAAAGCATTATGACTTAAGTACATAGGTACTATTTATGTAGGTAACATGGATTATTCCATCCTGGAAAGCTCAATTTTTGGTCATGACCCAATCCATTTACGTCACATGCAAATCTTGTATTTCTCGCTTACAAATCTCTTGAAGATTGAAGTCTGCCCCTAAAGGGTCGATATGCTCCACTTTGGGAATCTTAGATCTATAGGTACTCTTGACGTTCGAGAACAATATTCTTTACAAACTTCTAAAACAGAAGTTACTTTCGCCTTGACAAAGAGAATCGTTGAAACTTCACAAAGAATGTAGTTTCCGGTGTGTTACAAGAAATTGGCTTGAATTTTCTTTGACAAACTAGCTGCAATTTTGTGTTTGATTTCAGAATTATATTCGCTTTGTCACAAAAGGAAACAGATGCAAAAAAGTCTGACAAGTTTACTGAAAATTACGAATTAACTGAAAATCGTTACATCTATTTGCTAAGTTTTACAGAAATCGGTTAAATCCAATAAACCGGACTCATACCCTAATTTGCCAACCTAAGAGGTAGAAAATTTTGTTCAAATTTTACATCAGGGACATTTTATACCCACTTTCTAAAAAAAAATAATTATAGAAATGGAATGACAAATGTACGGTGTAATCGCATAACACACACACACACACAGAAAAAATAATCAAATTGAGAACCTCCTCCTTTTTAAGTCGGTTAAAAAGCTAATTAACATTACGTTTAGTCCACCATAAAGTTTTAGATATTAATTACCTACAGATGTACAAACTAGTTAAAGCGTTTAGGACTGAAGGTAAGCGCGGATGTAATTAGATGGTGTCCCACGGGTCAAAATATTGGGTACAATTACGGCGAGGGCGCCATATTGAATTCAAAATGGCTCCATTTTGAATTCAATGTTCAAATTTAGCGATCTATATTAGTTAGAAGTACCCAGATTTAACCTGCGTGGCCCGAGGCGAAAAAAAATTGCTGACGAATGAAACAGATTAGTTTCCTTCCAGAAACATCAAAGCAAAATCAAAATAAAAATCTATTAAAACCTTTATAAGTAAAAACTTAACATTCGTGCGATTATTTATACCGTTTTATTTTGAGATAATGTAACGTCTAGTCCATCGCGGAATAGAATAAAATAGAAATTTTTTTATTGTTTGTCACTTTTGTTACAGTTTATATCCGCAAATGGGTGTGTGCTGAATGCAATTTGTATTAAAGATTTATACAATTATTTTATATTATATGGCAAGTTTACAGCTCTTAGAAAAGTGCTATACGAGTACATCTTTAAACTTCTACCTTTCTTTTTTATATTTCACCAGACGCGGTGAAAAATTTCACTCTTAAACACCCAATTTTACGGTTTTACACAAAGCGTTTTGCTTATGCATACGTTATGGATACTGTTTTTGTTGGTAGGTCAATGGTTAAACCGAATATAATGAATCACATATCACAGGGTTGTCAAACATTGCTTTGTAAAATACCCTATCCGATTTGTTATTATTATTGACACAAAGATCGAACAAATACAAAAAAATTTGGAATTTTCGAATCGAAACAGCATTTGTAGCCACAAAAGAGCGACCAACCGAGGTAAGGACCGAGCCAGCTACTCTCAAATATTTTGAGTAGCAGTAGAGTTCCTTATGAAAGAATTCGTCCAGGAAATTACTGCCACCTTACAAATTTCTGCCGCCACGAGGTAATCTGAGCATTACAGCGTTCCGGTTTTTAAGGGACCCTTATCGTGGCAAAACTACAGGCGCACATGGGGCTTGTCAACTTATGTCTCAGGATGATGGGCGCAGTGGTAATGCCCCTCAGATCTTTGTGATTTGCAGCGCTGAGTGGCACTGCAATTGTTAAGGACAGGTGTGTCGCTTACCACCAAGTACACGACTTTTTCGTCTCGTCACTTGGTATTCACAAAAAGAAGTATTTTTATAAAAATAGGTGAATATCGTGGTACTAGATCATACGAATAGTAATTGTTATCGTTTATACAAATAACAGTTGACGTCTATCGGTTACTTAACAACTGTACTTGTTTAGTCATTCGATTATTTAATGATGAATATAGAATATTAATTCAATACAATTATTTTATTTTACGCATAGAACATTTTGGGAACGACGATGCCTATTATTGTAACAAAGTGTACAGACCCGCCACAGTTGCCGCCTTCAGTTCCTACGACTTACAAGACCCGGTCAGGAAGGCATGTGCGTTTTAAAGATTTTAGTGATTGCTGTGGCGGCTTTAAACGCCGCCTATTATCACCGGTTCGCTGTGGCAGTCTCTTTGGACGAGAGTCGCCAAGGAGAGTGTGTTGTAGTGTTTTAGTCTTAAGGCGCGTTCAAATTAGCCGCTGTTAGCCACGCTGCAGCAGCGGTAAGAAAGAAATGAGTGCCATATTCGTAATGAGCACCCTTAAATATGTCGAAAACGATACCCAACTTGCCATTATTTGAGAAATCGTGCCCGCCATCTTACATTTAGAAATGCGAAAAGTCGTGTCAGCCATCATGTATTCAGATATAAATGCCATTTCCATAAGGATTACCAAAAATAAATTTTAGAAAATTCTCGGCAATCATCTTGGATTTGGAAATTAATGCCACATTCTCAATGAGCACTCCCAAACAACTCGAAACGTCTATAATTCTCGTTGTTGATCGACAATGTCGTAGGCACCTTTACAATCCGTTCGTTACCTTTATTTTGTCAAAATAATCAAAATGAATACTACCATTAAATAGTTACAAAACTCGATTTACGAAAAATATTTGTAAATAGTTTTCGCCTTGTTTACGGGTTTTTATGGGATTTTTACGTTTGTTTAACACTATTCTTCACACTTGTATACCAAAAGGTATATAGTTAGGGGGGTCAGAGTTCTTGAGACACACACTCCACGTATAGATATTAAAAATTACTCACAACCTGCTATGTTTTTTTCATTTGTAGTTTTTTTTTCAAAATTGTCAATAAAGTCAGTCGATTAGATTAACTGGCGGAACTGATTTCCCATATTACAAGGT